ACTAGGATCAGCTTGATCCTTTAAGAGTTGTCTCAACTAGAAACCTTGTAAGTCTGTGGTCCCTGACATACAGCTTTTATCAATGGCATTTATGATGATCTACATGTGTGAGAACACGGTGCTATGTTTAACAGTGAGGACATTAAATAGAACTAAATAGTTCCTGTTAGAAATTATGTTCAATATAAGTAGAAACCAACACATAGAAGTAAGTATGTGTAAGCAAACAGAACATGACCGTTAATACTAACTTAATTCAAATATAAAGATTCTTTCCAAGATAAAGTAAAGGGATTGAATTTAACCTCCCACCTGAAGCAACTAGAAAACATTTTTGAAACAATGGTTTTGAAAATATTGACAACCAAGTAGCACAGGCCTGTGACCCTGGGAGGAGGGAAACAAAGAAGGTGACTCCTGCAATCAAACCAGCTTACTTCCTCGAGGCCGTTTCCAGGCTGCGACACAGGAAGGGGACCCACACAGAACGTGGAAAAGAGAGAGAGCGGAGTTCAGAGAGGCCGTGACAGCTAGGATTTGTAGAAGAGTGCCAGAGAGGAGGGGGCTGCGCCGAGAGGAATTTGGAGAAAGGTCCCTTCAAGTCTTTGGCTGAATGCTAATCTGCACATGCATGAGAGGAAACCACCCAGGGCTAGGGAGAGAACCCTGAGAATGAATGGGCAGAAAAGTTCCTGGAGCTCCTTTCAGCCAGTTTCTGGAAAGACCTCTTCATGCAGAGGACGTCACACAGGGCAGGAGTTGGCAGACTACAGCCCACAGGCCAAGTCTAGCCCATAGATTTGTTTTTGAATGGCTTGCAAACTAAGAATGATTTTATATTTTTAAAGGACTGTAAAAGTGCACAAAGGAAAACATGCAACAGAGATTACATACGGCCTGCAAAGCCTACAGGTTTTACTTTGTGTCCCTTACCGAAAGTTTGTTAGTTCCTGATACTGTCACCTTAGTAGTGGCAATAAATTAACTTCAAGCTAAAGGCTGCTCTGGACCCTAGCAAACTTAAAAGCAGCCCTTAAAAGGATCCTACAAATTCCTAGTAACAATAAACAAAATCTAACACTATTAAATGAAACACAACAAAATTCAGTGCCCCACAACATAAAATCCATTCAATAAAAATTGCCAGGCTTGTAAAGAAGCAAGAAAATATTACCCTGTATTATTTATCTATTGCTGTAGAACAGACCACCTCCAAAGCTTGGTGGCTTCAAACAGTAATCATTTATTCTTTCTTATCATTTCTTTGAATCAGCGATTCTGACAGAGCACAGCAGGGAATGCTTCATTCTGCTGCACAATGTCTAGGGCCTGAGCTGGAAGACTTGAAGCCTGGAGGCTGGAATTTTCTGAAGTCTCATTTAGCTACATATTTGGTGGTTGATGCTAACTGTTGGCCACCTTTTGTAAGGAAAGAGTTAACAGAGCCGGTCTGGCTGCTTGTTCCTTGCATGTTTCCAAGAGAACCTGGACCATGAATGACCCTTGACGAGCTGCTGGGAACATGATGATTTTGTTATGTCCACCTGGAGCAATGGGCTGTGCTATGTCAGCTTGTCAGATTGCTTTGCACAAGTATCAGGATGAACGAGGTGCACCTGGTTTCACTGCCCTGCGTTTCAGTTGCCATGGCTGGTTGCGTAGCAAGATACGCTTACGTGACCAGCACGCCAAAGAAAAGCCGTGGACCCTGAGACTCCAGCAGGGCTCGCTGGGTAGAGACATTTCACATGTGGTTCCACAGTTTGCTGCGAGAGAGAAAGCACATCCTGTGTGGCCTCTGGTGAGGGACTCCGAAGCCTGTGCTGGACCTCTGAGGACTCTGCCCAATGAAAGCCCCTTTCCTGCTGCTTTGCTCTGTATCCTCTGCTGTAATGAACTTTAGCTGGAAATATAACCCTTCTCTTGAGTCTTGTGAGTCCTTTTGGCCAATCACCGAAATAGGGGTGGCTTGGGACCCTCAAAACACCATGAAAGTATTAATCAAAAGAAAGCTAGATGTATAAGTTATCCATTGCTGCATAACAAGTGACCTCAGATGCAACAACGAACATTTGTTATCTCAGTTTCTGTGCATCAGGATTCCAGGTTTTCTTTTTCAGGGTCTCTCACAGTCTAGGTGCCAGGCTTGGCTGGGTCTGGAGGACCTGCATCCAGGCCCACTTCCCTGGTGGTTGGCAAGAGGCTTCAGCGTCTTCACTTGGATTCTCCACAGGGCTGCTCATGCCATGACTCCCCCCAGAGGAAGTGATCCAATAAAGAGACAGGGCCTATGAGAGAAGTCATAGTCTTTCATCATCTAGTCTCAGAAGTGAAATAACTTTACTTTTACCATATTTTATTAGTTACACAGACCAATTTTGGCACAGTGTGAGGACTACACAAAGGTGTGCATACCATGAGATGGAGACCATGTTGGAGGCTACTAGAATAGCTGTGTTAACAAGAGACCAGGTAGATTCCAGAAGGAGTATTATCAGAGATAAGGGGGAATATTTCATCACAGTAAATTCCTCAAAAAGATGAAAAATCCTAAATGTGTATACTAAGCTTCATGCCTGATTCTAAAACCCACTTGTGTTTATTGTTGTAAGCATTTTCTGTAGCAGATATTGGCATATTTCTGAGTCCACCCATGCTTCTTCATCATCTTCATGTCCTCATCAATATCAAGGGAACCCAAAAACCAATGTGTTTTTCTTTTATGAAATAATTATGGAAATGCTATGAAAAGAAAATGAAAGTGAATTTATAAATAGCTCTGCTTTAAGTAAAGCTCAGTAGGAAAAAAAAATCACCTAGGTGTTAAGAAAGGGCACAGGGATTTCAAGAAATCAGAGTTCAGCAAGGCAAAGAGGAAATCACAGCCACAAACGAGAAACAATGCCAAGACAGCAGAATGCGATGTCGAGGTGATGGACATTTTTGATGGTTAATAGGCCAACAAATTTGACAGTGATGATGTCTGGGAAAGGGGGAGAAGACACTGGAAATTCTAGTAACTAGGCCATGAGCATGTAAGGATGAGATTTGTTCACCACTGACACCTTGGTGCCTAGTACATTGCTGAGCATATGAATAAACTAATATGAAATGTTTGTCTCTTTATGGAAAAAAAAAGTGTAATGGGAGAGCCTGCCAAAATGGGTCAGCAGCTTTCAAGACATCAATAGGGTAAGGACTCCAGAATACAGACTTTAATGCTTCAAGACCAGTTTATCTGATCTCTTCCTAAATTCTAACAGCTTGTGATAAGAAGAAAAGAAAGATCTGGAAGAGAATTCTGTGCAAGAGTCAAAAGACGCAGATTCCAGATGTCCTGTGGCAGTCGACACTCTCCATGATATGTCTACTTCTTTTCTGAATTTTTTTAAATCAGTTTACCTTCTGGAAACCTGCCATTCCAGTGAAACTGACCAAATACTCTATCTTCTTGATTTAATTTTTACATTTCTCCCCACTTTTTAATATCTCTGAAGTCAAAAATTGTTTTACATCAATCCATTTAGATTATGGCCCTCCTTTAAACATATCCTCTATCGGGTGTGGAGTAAAAGGAACCCTCTTACACTGTTGGTGGGAATGTGAATTGGTTCAGCCACTATGGAGGATAGTGTGAAGGTTCCTTAAAAAACTAAAAACAAACTTACTATATGATCCAGCAATCCCACTCCTGGGCATAAATCCAGAGAAAAATATAATTTGAAAAGACACCTGCACCCCATTGTTCACAGCAGCAGTAAGTACAATAGCCAAGACATGGAAACAACCCAAAGTCTATAGACAGATGACTGGTCCGAGAAGATGTGATATATTTATACAATGGAATAGTACTCAGCCATAAAAAAGAATAAAATAATGCCATTTGCAGCAACATGGATGGACCTGGAGATTGTCATTCTAAGTGAAGTAAGCCAGAAAGAGAAAGAAAAATACCATATAATATCACGTATTCATGGAGCCTAAAAACTAAAAAGAAAAATGAACTTATCTACAAAACAGAAGTAGACTCATTAGATATACAGAACAAACTTCTGGTTACCAGGAGGAAGGAGTTTGAAAAGAATAATTCGGGAGTTCAAAATTTGCACCTCTTGGGGAGTAATGGAAATGTTAGCTATCTTGATTGTGGTGGTCATTTCATTAGTGTATACATCTATCAAAATTCATCAAATTATACATCTGAAATGTGTGTAGTTTACTGTACAGGAATCTTACCACAATAAAAGTGTTAAAATAAAGGCTATCTAGTGTGTGTGGTCGGTGGGGGACATGGTCTCTATCTTCTCTCAGAAATTTCGCCAAAGATATTTTTGTTCCTCTTTTACATCAGTTGAAATCCAGCCAATCTTTCCAGACCCAATTTAAATCCAAAATCTCCTTAAAAACCTTCCTGATCAACCCTTCCAAAAGTTAATTCACTTTCTTCTGACCCACAGTGGTACTAAAATCTAGGTTTGCATATTCTATTCTACTTAATATTGTAGTTATATGTGTCCCTGTCTTATTTCTCTTTTCAGATTATAATAAGCATCCAGAAAACAAAAACTGTCTTTTACAATATTGTACTTTCTATAGCAACTAGCACATATTTTCCTCATTTCAATGATCAATAAATATTACTTTGGTGAAAAAACAGACTCATGGACATAGAAAACAAACTATGGTTACCAAAGGGGAAAGAGCAGGGGAGTATAAATTAGGGATTAACAGACACACGTGACTATGTATAAAATAGATAGACAACAAAGACCTACTGTGTAGCACACAGAACTATATTCAGTTTCTTGTAATAACATATAATGGAAAAGAATCTGAAAATAAAAAATACATATGTATATATATATGTATAACTGAATCGCTTTGTTGTACAACGGAAACTAACATTGTAAGTCAATTACACTTCAATCAAATAATTTTTTAAAAATTATTACTTTGGTGAATGAAGGAATAAGTTAATAACTATACAAATTATGCTTAAGGAATACAACGTATTACAGAAGAATGGGAATAGTAACAATATGAGAAGATGTCCATCGTACATGGTTAAACAGGAAAAATGCAGGCTGCAGAACAGTATGTATAGAATGATTTTATTTTTGCTAAATCAACAACAAATTCCTCCCTAACATGCAGGATATAAATGTTTGTATGTAGTTAGAATGTTGTTTGGGGTGAGAGGAGAGTAAAGCTCAGTGGTAGTGTGCATGCTTAACATGCAGGAGGTCCTGGGTTCAATCCCCAGTACCTCCATTAAATAAGTAAATAACTAAGTAAACCTCATTTCCCTCCCCCCCCAAAAAATTTTTAATTAAAAAAAAAGTTATTTGGAAGAACATAGGCCTAATGGTTAACATCAATTATCTCTGCAAAGTGGGAGGCAGGTGATAAAATTATGAAAGTTCAAGGTAAATTTTCCCATTTTACTTGTTTGCTTCATACACACACACTCTCCTATGTTATTTGGCTTTGGAATTTTTTTTTTAAATTAACAAAGTATGTGTATATATTTCACAGTGAACATTAAGGTGGGGAGAAGGAAAGAGCTGGCTATCTTTCAGGTATGTAGCTTTATGGCGAAAAAGAAGAGAAAGCCCAAAATTCAATACATAGAAAGTTGTGAGTTATGAGATATGACAACCAAGAAAGAAGATTAATTCAGAAAACTATAGAAGAAAATGGTTTTTTGAACCCAGATGTAGCAGAATTCTGAGGCCTAGTACATTGGTTGATTTAAAACCCACTGTCACACAGAACAAAGTGGAAAGTACAGGGCAGTGGGGAAGCAAGTTATTTTAGCAAAAAAGCCTCTTGCGTTATGTTAAGGTATAACTGAAGCAAGATTCCTGTGCAAGAGACAGCTCTCAAATGTTCCTAAGAGTGCCCCCATCGGAGGCCTGGTGCAAATAGAGAAGATTGTGTATTTATATGTAATCTCGTGACACCATTGATGTTAACTAAGCACACTGAGTGAGATATTTGCATCTGTACATTTGATAACAATTAACTTTGAAATTTTTTTGTTTTATTTTCTTAACTGCTATTCATACAGCTGGCACTGTGCTAAGTGTTTACAGGTTTTATTGTATTGGTACCTCCTCACAACCCTAGGATACTACTGTCCCCATTTCACAGATGGGGAAACTGAGGCTTAGATAAGCAAGTAATGGAGTCAAGTTTGAACTCCGGAAGGCTGCCAATTGATGCCAAATCCCTTGCCCTTTGTCTCCACAAGTGTGTCTGTCACATAATCATACCTATTAGACATCCCATTATTCCTTATTTCACTTTCTGGCCTCACTGTTGTGTGAAAGTGTGTCCTAATTGCCCACGTGTGTTGCCAGCATAACAGAAGAATCTGTTCTTCCATCTACTCAGCTCCCTGTTTTTATTAGAAACGTAAAGAATATTCTGCTTGAAGGCAGATATTCCCAAATATTACTATTTTCCTTTGTTAACTTGTTGCAGCTCCATCAGCTCTTAATTCACCTGTTTTCCTTTCTGAACAGTCCATGCAGCTTTATTCAGTGGAGAGAGAGAATGTTAGTCACTGCATAAAGCAGTGTAGGTTCACCATCCCTTACCTGCCAATTTTGAAGTCCAAAGAGGTTTGATAAATGAAAGACTTTTCATAACTCATATGGCATCAAAGCCTGACAAGACCCGAACTCATATGGCAACAAAACCTGCCCTGAACTGACTTGAGGCTATTTTTAATCTTCATTGATCACAATCAGTATGAATGTTTATACATTTCACCACTGAAATGTCAGTTTGTTTTATTACAGGGAGCTGCCCAAGCCTCACTCAGGGTTTTACATATGATATAGAATACTTATATTTTTACCTATCCAAGAGCTAAAAAGTCCTACATTACAAATATTTCTGGACCGCAAAGTTTTCAGGTAAGTGATTTCTGATGTATTTTCTTTCTTATACTACCCCTCCACCCCACACACACACCTTTTTAAAAAGGAGTTTAAGTATTAAGTGTTTTCTGAAGTCTAATACTTCGACTTGGTGAATGAACAGCTATGGCCATGTTATACAAACACTTCATGACTTTAGAATATTCGATGGTTTCATTGTTCATTGATTCTGAGCCACTGAAACATTTTCCCCCGATGGACTTACTTTTACTTTTTTTTCCCTCCTTGGACAGTGTCTAAATATGGGAGACTGCTTTATCAGGCCACTGGTTAGTTGTTTGTTTGACATTTTTGGAATATGTAAAGCAGTTTATAACCCCATTTGGGATCAGATTAACCATAATGTGATTAAAATTAAGGAGATCCAGATAAGCCTTCAGTTTCTGACTGATCTGGGTTTGTTCGATCTCAGTTTTTCTGGATATATTTATACAAACTCACGGGGTTCATTTTCCCATTCATCTGTCACATGATTTTTCTGGTATTCCAGCATATGCTCTCCCAACCTTTAGTGCTAACCTGTAGCATCTGAACATCCCTTAAATCTGACACTTCAGAAATTTAAAAGCTGCCACAAAATTATCATTCATTAAGTGAAATTTTCCATAATAGGTACCTGAGTTATGAAACTTAATTCTAAGAGCCAAGGAAAGATTCCCAAATGAAGGGGAAGGAAAAGCACTTCTGGAGGGCACTCCCTTGCTCTTCTGTGGTAGATCAGTTGCTATGACAGTAGACTGGCTCAGAGAACAGGTAACCTAAGTGCTTAAAATAGCAGAGAGTACTTCTCCCTAATGAATCAGATTCTGCAAGGAATCACTAAGTCTCACAGTATTTATATGAGCGCTGTTTCACCAGTCAATAACTAGAGTGATGTGGTAAGGTTGAAAACATTCTATTGCTTAGGGTTTTTAAAAAAGGAAATTCCTTAGTGTTTAACATACACAGGTGTATGTGCCTGTTATTTTAAAATCCTTCCATTTGCATAAGTTGAAATAATTTTGATTTGAAGTCCACACTTGAAGTCATTAATTCATCTTTATAACGTCAGTGTGGCATAAATGAATGCAGTGATTTTAAGGGACTGATTAAAGATGTCAAGTATATTTCCATCTTAAATTTTCATTCAGAAATAAATCTCAGACTCTTTGCTCTCTGGGTAATTGCTATGTGATGACTGCTTTTCTCCACATATTCTTAATGATCCTCAAGTCTGCCCTTTGTCTCTACAGAATACATATTGGGCAAGCAGTGGGGTTGAGGACCTATGAATGCATGAGCAGGGTGATGGCTCCCGCAGAAACTGGGGAAGGGGGACGTGCCAGTGGGGCTCCTGTGGGTTAGCAGTAGCTCTCTTTGAGCCGCCATCCTCGTTAGCAAGCATCCAGGGCACCGGCTCCCTGAGCTGCCCTTTCCCAGCCAGTCCAGGCTGCTTTCACTCCTCAGTCTCTCCGTGGAGTTTCCCTCATCAGCCATGCTTGTGCACAGAGCTCACTCTGCTGCCAAAAGCAATAAATGGCCTGTCAGGCTAGATGTGCATGGGGCTGTCACCAAATGGGAACTGAAAGCCAGAGAATCTCATCTCCATGAGGCACGAGGGCTATTTCAGAAAGCAGTAGTGCCAGCTTCACCCCTTAGTGATGGTCCTCAAAGGGTAATTGGAGAGTACAGAGTAAAACCCTTAAGAAAATCTGAAATAATATGCTGTAGTGCGGAAATTCTGAAAAGCGAAAACATGCTACAGACTTCTGCTGCTTCTCTGTCTTTTCAAACAGCTACACACCTTGTCACTGTGCTAAAGCATGGATTTCACTAAATGAGAACTTCAGGTTCTCTCATAACATACCTTTATTTATTTATTT